TGTGTGTGTGTGTGTGTGTGTGTGTATTTTCCTTCTCATTTTCTATATTTAGGTAGATACAACAGGGGTTTGCCATTGTTTTACAATGATGTCAGCATCTGAAGGCCAGGATCCCCCTTAAAGTCACTTTGAACTTGCAAAATGAGACGTGTTTGATGATAATCACGAGGAAATAAACAGCTTGCAAATATCCATCATACACAACGTGAGGCTTTGGCTTGTATCGCACAAACTTTTTTCGAAGCTCACACTCAAAAGAGGACGACGATGGCGCTCGTACAGCAAACTGGTTCTATCTCATGCCAACCCTTCAGAGTTTGCTCTCGCTGCCGTGGTGGTTGTCCACGATCCTGTATGTTTGTTGATTCGCTCCATAGAAGTGTTTGAACCGAACTGTCCAGAGCGTCAGGGTTTAATCACTGGCAGGAATAACGATACATTCGACAAAGAACAGCTAGGACAGTGGGAACTGGCCACTGATTCACAAAGGGTGATGTCTGATTGTCTGTCAGTCAGTCGAAGTAGACAAAGTATGACACCATCAATGCAACATGAGCACATAAATAACATCACAAAATGTATCCAGTGTACGGATTCTTCCTTTAGAACATTTGGCAAGAGGTAACGCCACCCCTCCACAAGAATGGTAATACTTTAAAACAAAATGTATTCATAAAACTTCTTTTCTTTAAAGCAGTTGAGACAGTCATGCAATATGCAGCCTAGTTAAACTGGCTGCAGGGCCTCCCTTATTGAAGAAATCAACCTTTTTGTGAACTCAAGGTTAGTCTTGGCAGGTAAGAACTTAAATAAACCGGTGGCAGTGCCACACCGTAAAGGAAATGGGGCCGATTAAAGGTTTAGTGAAAAGAGTAAAAAACGTTCGGCTATGCACAGATTTGAGTCAGGAGATCCAGTCCAAGTCCTAGGCCCCAAAAAATTAAAAGTTTCTAAGTGCGGGTTGAAGTTGTCGGTCTGGGTCTGGGGGATTGAGATCCAGGCCCAGACATCTTAAAGGTCTCGCTCAACAGAAATGATCCTACGTAGAGTACACACTCCAAAGAGAATGTCTGCGCGGCAGCTTTAAAGAATCACCACATTGAATACCATTCACGTTTCACAAACTTTACACGTCACGTCAATACAAAAGAGGGTTTTCAGTCAGCGAGGACCCGTGTTTGTAAGCGTGAGAGGACTTCCTTCCTGCTGTGCTCCTGCTGCCTGCCGTCCTTTGTGTGGACATCAGAGGGAAAGACAGATAGCGGGGGGTTAAGGTAGAGGCTCAGTCAGTGTTTACATTCTGAACTCAGAGACAGAAAAGATCTTAGGGTGGAAAGGGAGGAGGGGAAGGGCGGGTTCGTGGAGAATTGTATTGTGCTCGATGAGTTTTCAAGGCACTGTCCTGTCACATGATGTCAACAAAAAACTCACAGGGATTGCCCATAGCATGCTGGAAGGACTGGCGACTAGCGGTGAGCTCAGGAGGAACGGCTGCTAACTCTCTCCCAGGAGGGGCTCCAGGGGGCGTGCTGCTGCTGACCGAGGTCTTGGGGGCCAGACGGGCCAGACAGTAAGGAGGAGGCAAGCCGGGGGGGCCGTAGGAGGAGGCGTGGCTTCGCTCGCTCTGGGCACAGGAGCCTGGCCCGGGCTTGGTGAACGGAGCGTGGCTGTAGGTGAAGGAAGGGTGGCTGTTTTGTGAGTGATGGTGGCTCCTGTGGGACTGACTGTGACTAAGACTTGATCGGGCATGACTGTGGCTGGAGATGGCGTGGCTGTGATGGCTCATTTGGCTGGCGGACCTGTCACCGCGCCTCCCTCCACGGATGCCGGGCTCTGACTCGCCGCATGTTGACCTCTGACCCTTCTCCTGTGGGGAGGAGCGTCTACCTTTGCCTGCACTGGGGTTGGATCCACTGCTTCGGCTTCCTGTTGAGAGGAGGGGGAAAAAAACACCAACACTTTAGCTTGTCCTTCTGCAATACAAATACACATAACTACAAATACACAAGCTGTGTCTCAATTCAGGAGCCGCGTCCTTCTGAGGCTGCATTTGAAGACCGAGTGCGTCGGTCTTGCCCCTGTTATCCCAGGATTCATTGCGCTTTTGTAAAGAGGTAATTGTGCTGGCAAGCGACGAGACGTCTACTGTCCTTCAACTCAACCGAAAAGCTAAAGGTGCACATGATAAAAAAACTAAGGGGCATGAGAACTATCTAATCTGTTGCTAGGCAGTAGCAATGAGGGCGGGGAAAGCTGGTGACGCTGAATCACAGAAATCCTGTGACCAGACTATGTCATTTCGATATGGCCTACACAGCCCACAAATAAGGTCTGTGTGGGCCGGTAGACTGCATCCTCCAAAGCATGCAGCCCCTGAATTGAGACACAGTTACAGTCAGCAGGCCCACCTCATTACCTGCAGCTGCTTAAGAAACAGCTGGATTTATTACTGATCAATAAGGAGGCAGACGGTCACACGTTAAACAAAATATAATGTAAACGCTTATTGAAGCCTTCGTGAACTGCTGCGGTCACAAACAGGCAGCGTCTTTGTTGTATTATATTTGAATAAATGTTATTTTTGGTGCACGTTTTGTTTAAGGTGTGACTCATTCTTTTCTTATGCAGTCTATCGAGAGTCAACAGTCAAGGGCAAACAGAATTATCTTAAAGGTTTCTTCCCCAAAATCCACCTGCAGCAGCTAATCCCATGAACTTTATCTGATGTTTATAGAAAACACCGAAACATTCACAGATTAGAAATAAAAACATGATACACCTGCGCCAGACAGACACTGCTGCACAGCACTGTGTGCATAATGCAGCATAACACGACTGTTGTTACATTCACATCATCAGTTTTGTTTCGTAAGTAGGTTTATGTCATGTCTCATTGCTGCTAGTGTGAAACTGATGGAGGTGTATCACATTATTGCAAAATCAAACATTCCTTGCTCTCCCACTTCTGCAATGAGCCCAACAGTACTGGGTAGAGTGGTGCATGATCGCCCCCTGTCTGTTGGAATTAATAGCACAAGCCTTGATCATCCTGCATCATGCACCTCCCAGCACAGTATGAATGCATGCCCCCGAGGTGCAGAGAGGGAGAATGGACTGTCTCAGGAGAGTCACACAGGATACAAACGGACGAAGGTAGACGCATGGGATGGGCGGAGAGAAAAAAAAAATACCTTAAAACTACAGTATAATAGGTGGAGAAAAGAGGGATGGAAAAAGAATCAATGGCAAAAAACAGAGCGAGAGAGAATAAGAGAAAGAGTGCAGCAGAGGAGGGGAGGGGGTTAGCAGGCTTACCGGTTCCCCCAGTGTCCTGGGACTACCTCCTCCTTCAGTCTAACGTTGCCCAGCAGAAACAGAGGGAACAACAGAATTACACACACCTCCCAGCCCAGCCCCTGCCCACACTCCCTAACGTACCCGTCTGCATCTGGCCCATGGGCTCATCACCTATTTTACACCCCTCGCTGTCAGTGGTCCTGCTCTTGTGATCCAACTTTAAAAAACATCCCCTCAAAAATGCAAACATGCGCACATTCAAACAAGCAGGCAGCCACATCATAATCAATGAGCTGATGCCAAAAGAAAGAAAACTGCAATTTTAATTCATTAAAAAAATCAATCTAATGACTGTTCCTTTTTCAGTGCTGTTCCTGCAAAGGTTGCAGATAAACTAATAGAAAGAAAGACAACCAGCTGAAAGTAAGACGTGAAGATGAAGTGGATGAATCACTATAGACAATGAAGATTAGACTGATGGATGATCACATGAAACTCACCATGATCTGTCTGAACTGCCTGGTTTCAAACATTTATATACGACTGACACCCACTAATGTATGACCCCCCCCCCCCATTTGTTCTCCGCTCTCCCTCAACGCAGGTGTCAACAACCATGCAACAGCCACACAAAGCACCATCACGTTCAAGATGAAAACCAAATATCACTCGAGAAACTGAAACTGGAGACGGATGGATTTTAGCGCTGATCAATTCAAGCTGGCGATCACATGACTGATTGGTTTTTTTTTTTTGGAGTACACACCCAGTACTGCAGAGCTGTCCGCTGCATGACTCAAGATGCTCATGATTGACCTTGACAACACAGGACGTGTTTTAGAAATTACACATATTTCATAAAGAAAAATGCAGTTCAGTGTCAACTTCCTGCCCAAAGAGCCAGATAACTTAGCATTGGAGTCAGACATGTGTCAATATTGACGTCGTAAGAATACTTAGGAATGATGTCATGTTGCATGTTGAGTCAAATTATCACATAATTAATTAAAAAGCTGTTGGAAAAGCTCAACATAGGCGTGTCTCTTCTTCCTCCTCCTCATTGCTCACCCTCGCTGTGCTGACTGCCTGCGCTCCCGCTGTGGAAACTGTGGCACGGGTCTGAGTATCCTGGCGGGAAGCTGGGGGGCGCGGAGGGAAAAGGAGGGTAGGGGAACGGCTGCCCGCCCAGGGGCCAGGGGTTGCTGGGAGGAGGGAGCGGTGCCAAGGTGTCCTGCTCGGAGCCTCCGCCACTGGATCCCTCATTTAAGTTGAGCGATGCCATGTCTGATTGGAGAGAAAACCCAACCAGAGAGAGAAATATTTAGTGTAATCCTTACATTCATTCAAAACAAGGGCAAGCACGTGGAGATGCATCATTGAAAGACTGAGCGAAGTGGCCGTACTTTGGCAGAGGTCCCCGAAGGTATAGTAGCACTGTTCGGAGAAGGTGATCTTGTTGACGGTGTGTCTCAGGTAGCCGTGTTTCAGGAGACTGCTCGCGTACTTCCTCGCATCCCGCCGGTCCTTGAATCCTTCTACTCTGGAGTAAAGCCAGTCTACCACGTCAGCACCTGACACAGCAACACACGCACACACACACACATTTTGTAGTTAAAAAGAAAGGGGTGTACATTTTGAAGATTTACTGTTTTAACCATAATACTATTGTTCGAAGACAGCACCAGGATTCAATGCAGTACGCAAACAACACAGACCTACTACACGTACTTACAATAAATTATTAAATTATTAAATAAAACTCCACAACTTGCTGTTAGTTTTGTCGTACTCACCGATGACGGCGTTGGCGATTGTGATCTTCAACCACATCCTGTCTCGAATCTCTAAGCCGGAGTCAGGCAACTGCATCACCTTGACAATAGTTGCCATGTCCGTTTTACTTGCAGATAAAGGCAAGTCGTCAAATTCTGTCACAGGAAGAAGAGTTTGGAGAAATTTGAAATTGTTTAAATGTTGCAAGGTTGTCATAATCACAACAGAAAGGATGTTTGGTTGTTTTTACCGTAGTGTGGGTAAGGTCCCGTCAGGGCAGTGGTGTGTGAAATCCAGGCTGCAGGGTCAATGGGTCTCACTGGTTCAGCTGCAAAATGACACAGTTAAACCCTTGGGACATGGCATCAGTTCCTCTGCTTTAATTGTAATAAAATACAATATATATACTATAGATCGGGTTTATGGATTTGCTAAGAAGAATTAAGATCCATATCCACATGACTGCACAGGTCTTACCACGAGGGATCGTGAAGTAGCTTCGTGGAGACGGGTCCCAACATTTGGCAACAGTGAGACTAATAGGACTGGAGAAAAATTATAGTAAATTAGTATAAATAGTGCAGAACACAATAAAGTGTTTTTTAATAACAGCTGGAGTTAGGTAAAAACAAGGAAAGCAGTACAATAGAAGTACGTTTAAGCTTTGATTTAAAGGAAGTTACTGACTAACATGTTTCCTCCTCTAATGAATATAGACCTATTAAGATAAAAAAACAAAAGGCAACGTGTGTTAAAAGCCAAATAATGAAACAGAAGCCTTCATCAGAGGTTATATTTCCAGTGTTTGTTCTTTAGCAGGATTACACAGAAACTACGGAGCCTGTTTCTAATAAATTCTGTTTAAGTGTGTGACGTGGAATTGCAGGTTCACTGGGTCTCAAGTGTTTCACTTTCTTTGACGTTGTGAGACAGGGTGTTGTCAACTGTCAGGTTGGAAACTGATTTTTATCAGATCAGATTAATGTTTTCTGAGAATAGTATTTACAGCACAGTTTTAGAAGAGGTCACAAAGAGAGCGCCGAAAATCTAATCAACAATCAGCAAATCTAAAAAGCTGCTGGATTTTCCACTAATGATTCTCTGAGAAATCAAGGACAATGTCTCACCATGTTAAAGAAAGTGAAAGGAGAAATCTTGGATCGTACCCCACCCCGATTAATCGGTTAACTCGTTTTTGCATAAAACAAATTAACACAAACTAAAAACAAAACCCCCTCAGTCGAAGTCTGTTTTTAACAACAAAGGATGAACTTTAGGGATGTGCTGATATTGTAGATGACCTTTTCTCAGCAGGCTTTCTTTTTAATTCTTTAAACCCTCTGAATACCAGAACAGCACCCTCTCTGATACAGTGTAAGATTACACCCGACATACAGAGAGCTATTCCATAAATCTGATCTGCAGCTGAGAGTTAAACGATCACAAACGCTCAGGAAGTGATCTGAACGAGTTTAATGTTCTCACCCGGTTTTGGAAACGATCTCTCTGAGAATCCTGACGGCGTCGTCATTGCTCATGTTCTCAAAGTTCACATCGTTCACCTGGTTGACAGACGACAAACATAATAAACTCCACGTGTCAAATTCCACTCATTAATTGTACATTGTGTGTTTTCTTGACTAACTCATTATGTTTAACCTCTGCACAGAACTCTTTGAGCTCACACACATTAATCTCTGCCGTGCTCAGATGCCTGCAAATCCTAAGCTTCTTTCAACGGTCAAATTAAAACCTATATTATGAATGCTGGTGTGGCAGCAAAGTGCAGTCTTCCATTGTGTGTTTTACAGCAGGTGGAGCCATTGAGATCAAAAAAGAAGCAATGACAGGAAGGGAGTTACAACTTTTACAAGAGATCCTAGTGAAGGAAGTGGTTTTTAATGGGCCACAAAACCTAGGTTAAGCTTTCACACTGTAAATCAGCAGCTGCAGCAGAAGTCTTATCATCGCACTGATACGTACCACAAAACGACACCACAATTACAAAATTCCTATTGACTGATAATTTGTTTAACTGAAAACATCTGCTCACGTACCTGGAGGAGCATGTCTCCAGGTTCTATTCTCCCGTCAGCAGCCACAGCTCCTCCCTTCATGATGGAGCCGATGTAGATGCCGCCATCTCCCCGGTCATTACTCTGACCAACAATACTTATACCCAAAAAGTTGTACTTCTCTGTCAGGGAGAAAGCACATGATTATTCCAGCCGTGTGTATATGTTAGAAATTATTGGTGTAAAATTCTGATATGAACATTATAGTCAAGGACGTAGTGGTTGTACCCATGTTCAGTGTGACGGTGATGATGTTGAGGCTCATCGTAGAGTCCGTGATACTGCTGAAGGATGAGGACTGGAAAAATCAGGAGGAGGACATGAGAATATGTAGAGCAACAAATCAATCAGCTCTCTCATCTGTTTCAAACACTCATTTCAGCAGCGGCGGACGTGTCATGGAGGTCGTGCTCACCCGGTCTATCTTGGCCACTTTGTGCCTCCGTCGACGGCGCTTGTGTCTGCGCATCAGGTGCGAAGAAGAACTCTGTTCTGTGGAGCTACTGAGCCTGAAATGCAGAAGGAGAGAGGAAAGACATAGAAAAGAAAGAAGAGGAGATAAAGATGGGATGTTGAAATAAGATAGAAAAAGCAAAGAATAGAGTTGTGTAACAATATGACCTGGTTTAAGGTCAAATGATCTGATAATGTTAAATACTAATTGTTCTAAAAAGGTAAACGTCTATGTAAATAAATTATATGTACTGCAGAAATAATATATTTTGGTGTATCTATTTTTTTATAAACCGAAAAAAAACAACAGATATAATTTCAGAAACAAACAACATCTACTGATACAAGGGTCTGGGCGCAGACGAGATAGATTTTGAAGTGGAGTGACATGTTACCTGCTCGCATCCTCATCCTCCTCACTGTCAACAAAGGAGCTGGACTCCAGCTCACTGCTCATTACTGAGGCGCTGTCGTAACCCATGGCTGAGTCTCTGGCAGTGCGCTCTGATTTAGAGTGGCCGTTGATGCGAGGGACTGGAGAGAGAGAGAGAGAGAGAGATAGAGAGAGAGGAGAGAGTCAGATGGAGGTCGCGTTGTAAGATCAGAACGAGAGGGAGGACGTCTATGTGAGATTTTTTTAATCACTGAAAATAAGAAATAAGACTTTACAGCGGACTGAGAGTGGAAAGAAATCACAGGTTCAGTTCTTTAGAAAGGTAGAAATACAGATAGTTGAGATTTATTATCAGTTGGGTGTCTTACTGTACACAGCTCTGCATTAAATCACTTCCTTACAGAAAGAAAAGTCCCACCCTGTCCATCTCCATACGTACATTGCCACTGAGGTGGTGACGTCTCAGGGTAACAGCGGATTGGGCGGAAAGATCTCATAAGCCCAAGAGGGCGTGGCAGCCAGCGTTTTCGCCGAGAGCAAGCAAAACATTCCAGCAATGTGGCAGTTCCCATCGCTGGCTCCGCCCGGGAGGTGCTCTTATGAAAGCTGAGCCACTGCACATAAGCAGTCAATCAGCAGAGGGACATGACATCCACTGAGATGAGTCACTCAAACATATTTCCCCCTGCGCTCAGATGACGGCCACACCAGAGGAAACAAAACAAAGAAAAAAACAACACAACACAAGCGTGCAGGTTCACAGGCTGAAATCTGTGTCTCTGTGCTCTGCTCCGTCTGTGCTAGTCGTTCTCTAACACCCAGTCTGTGCACCACACGCTCTCTGCCCACCGGCCGGCTGCTCACAGCTTATCTACAACACAGGCGGTGACACAAACAGGTGAAAAACATGAAAGATCATCAGTATTAACTCACTTCAGACACAATGTACTGGTGACATTTTCTAAAGTTGTGACGTTTAAAAGAGAATAAATGATAAAACACTCATGAGATAAAAGCCAAAGGAACAATTTAAACTGATCATTTCTAAACTGGTGGGTAACATGAAGTTACACTGACAACATAAACATTAACTACAAAACGTTCACAACAAGTAATAAGAGTTGTAATTTAAAAGAAAACCCACCTCGGAATAAAAGAAAATGCTATAAAATAACTACAAAATAAAACCTCCAGTACCATATAATGACAGATTCCATCAACGGGCATAACACAACAAATCCCTCTCACCACAGACGGCGAGCTCTCATCCGACGCAAAGACAAACTGAGCTGAGAGTCGGGAGAAAGTACTTCCACACCCCCACCTACCCCTGCCTCCCCCCCTCCCTCCCTCCCTCCCTCCCACGGCATGCAGCTATAGAATGACTGCTAATCTGCTTCCGACCAATCAGTTGATGGTTTTCTCCTCAACACAGGGAGATGATGTGGGATTTGAGCTGATGTGCCGTCCTCTCTCGTCGCCGCCTCAGGTGAAAAACACCATCAGGTTATTAAAAGCTCATAGTTCTGAGACAGGATTTTAAGACACTTTTTTCATGACGGAGGACAGCTGAAGTTCACCAGCTGTGTTTGTGCTTCGTGATAATACTTTAACACAAGCATAAGTGATCCGGCTTAGCCATGTATGCTTTGACTTCAACCTCCAAATCCCAGCAGCGCTGAGCAGCATAATGCTTCATGCAGTTGTTCTTTTTTTGGGGGGGGGGGTATTAGATGTTCTCTGCTACGGTGCAATAGCTCAACATCAGAGTCTTGTCTTACGGCCTCGAAACGGATCATATCCCATAACGCTGTCATGCTGCCCTCGGGGTCTTACACCTGTTCAACCTCCAAAAATTCTCAACTGCTACATTATTCATCCATTCACACTCTAACGCTTCAGCGCAGACAGAGAACAACAAAGGTTTGTGTTTACCGGGGGGCAGAGCACTTTACCTGATCGCCGTAAAACAGCGAGCGTTCACGCAGGGACGGGATCACTTGAAGCGTGTGTATAAGGTGACAGGGGAATTCCTGCTGCTGCTGATGCTGCAGGCAGTGAGGTGAAGAGGCGGGGCCGGCGCCGACTCTGACTTTATATGTCTCTTCATCTAGGCCATGTGATCGTGACCGCAACAACTGAGCAAAATTCAGTTATATTTCATTAAGCCTTGTTCACTAGATTTATGAGCCATGAAACCACAAGGAACACACGCCCAACTACGACAACAAGTCCCATGCAAGGGCGAGGAGATCTGAGGTGAGGAAAGAAACACTGCACTGAGTGAGTGTGTGTGTGTGTGTGTGTGTG